CTATAGCTGTGTGTGTGTGTGTGTGTGCCACTGGATCTGGGACCCTATATATAGTTCAGCTATAGCTGTGTGTGTGTGTGTGTGCCACTGGATCTGGGACCCTATATATAGTCCAGCTATAGCTGTGTGTGTGTGTGTGTGTGTGTGTGTGTGTGTGTGTGTGTGTGTGTGTGTGTGTGTGTGTGTGTGTGTGTGTGTGTGTGTGTGTGTGTGTGTCACTGGATCTGGGACCCTATATATAGTTCAGCTATAGCTGTGTGTGTGTGTGTGTGTCACTGGATCTGGGACCCTATATATAGTTCAGCTATAGCTGTGTGTGTGTGTGTGTGTGTGTGTGAGTGCCACTGGATCTGGGACCCTATATATAGTCCAGCTATAGCTGTGAACTCTTGTCGCCTGTCGTAAAAGCATCAGGTGTGTGTGATCAACAGTGTGTGTGTGTGTGTGTTCAACATCTGAACTCTGAACTTCGTATCACTCAACGAAGCTATTCCTCTTGGAAATGTACGATTAGTTTCAGAATGTACCCTTTTTTTGAATGAAGTGTGGACTGTGTCGCTGTGTAACGGAGGTGATGTCCACTATCTGCAGCGTTAGTTAATGTGTGCTGAAGTCTGGCTAATAATCACACAGACTTAAATCAGCACTTCAAACTGAGATTTCCTCGTTTGCTTTCTGAGCCTCACTCTGATCAGTGCATGTTTAAAACATTGTGTTTACACATCACCACTGGATCTACCAGTGGAGGGAAACAACAGTAATTCCTAAATAAAATAATGTTTTAATAAAAATGTATGTATTTATTTGTGTACCTATATGCATATTAAAATATATATAAAAAAATAAATTCCCCCACAGAATGCAATAAAATCAGTCCATGTATGATGTATAGGCTAAAAGATCAACGAGGCTTATAAAAATATAAAGGCAATTAAGAAAATAGAACTGAATATTTACAATCAACAATTGAGAAAAAAATATTTATTTGAAATGTTAAAATATTTAAAATATTACAAAAATAGTACTATTAATAATAATCATTAATCACTGCTAAGAAATCAATAAGGCTTTTAGCAATTAAAATATAATATAAAATATAAAAATCTTTAACCGTAATTAAGAAAAGAAAATTCTAAATTCAATAATTTTACAAAATATAATATTAAATATTAAAATAAATTATTAGCATGTGTGTGTGTGTGTGTGTGTGTGTGTGTGTGTGAGTGAGTGTCTGTGTGTGTGTGAGTGTCTGTGTGTGTGTGTGCGTGTGTGTGAGTGTGAGTGTGTGTGTGTGAGTCTGTGTGTGTGAGAGTGTCTGTGTGTGTGTCTGTGTGTGTGAGTCTGTGTGTGTGAGAGTGTCTGTGTGTGTGTGCGTGTGTGAGTGTGTGAGTCTGTGTGTGTGAGAGTGTCTGTGTGTGTGAGTCTGTGTGTGAGAGTGTCTGTGTGTGTGTGAGTCTGTGTGTGTGAGAGTGTCTGTGTGTGTGTCTGTGTGTGTGAGTCTGTGTGTGAGAGTGTCTGTGTGTGTGAGTCTGTGTGTGAGAGTGTCTGTGTGTGTGAGAGTGTCTGTGTGTGTGTCTGTGTGTGTGAGTCTGTGTGTGAGAGTGTCTGTGTGCGTGTGTGTGCGTGTGTGTGTGTGTGTGAGAGTGTCTGTGTGTGTGTCTGTGTGTGTGAGTCTGTGTGTGTGAGAGTGTCTGTGTGTGTGTGTGTGTGTGTGTGTGTGTGTGTGAGTCTGTGTGTGTGAGAGTGTCTGTGTGTGTGTGTGAGTCTGTGTGTGTGAGAGTGTCTGTGTGTGTGTGTGTGTGTGTGTGTGTGTGTGTGTGTGTGTGTGTGTGTGTGTGTGTGTGTGTGTGTGTGTGTGTGTGTGTGTGTGTGTGTGTGTGTGTGTGCGTGTGTGTGCGTGTGAGTCTGTGTGAGTCTGTGTGTGTGAGAGTGTCTGTGTGTGTGTCTGTGTGTGTGAGTCTGTGTGTGTGAGAGTGTCTGTGTGTGTGTCTGTGTGTGTGAGAGTGTCTGTGTGTGTGTGCGCACACGCACACAGACAATGTTGAAAATCTAAATGAATCCAACCTGAGGTGATGCATCAGTCTAAATTTTAACTACAGGTCTAATGAGTCGACTCGCTCCTGTTGGCTCAGCTAAGCACAAATTAGACTTTAAAACCATTGATGAACACAAACGTGAGAGAGAAGGAGAGAGAGAGAGAGAGAGAGAGAGAGAGAGAGAGAGAGAGAGAGAGAGAGAGAGAGAGAGAGAGAGAGAGAGCTCGGGTTACACGTCCAAACTGTTGCTATTTCTGTAGCAAAACCAGCGCAGCGTTTTCTCCTGTCAGCTGGAGAAGTGAGGGAACGTGATACTTCCACATGTGTGAGGATTAAACACTGCCTGCTGAACTAACACACACTCGCTCGGCTGCTGGGAATCATGCCTGATACACAGGTAACATGACAATATATCATCGGAGAGAATAACGACGAATGTCTATAGCAAGTGCGATAATCAGCATCAATGATATAAAGTCTCCCTGTAGTCAATCAATTTAACTCATATTTGATCACCAAAATTACATATTTAAAACCGTAAAAATGTCTTCATGCCTTAAAATATCTCGAATGTAACTCGACACCCTTCCCTCATTTAATATGCGTGGTTCTATTAATATGCAAATGAGCCCCGCCTCCACTCACTCACTCAGCTCAGAGATCCACTGGTTGACGATCACACGTTGATCTGATTGGTTACAAGGTCGTTTGTGACGTCAGAAACACCAGCGATTTCAAACCGTGTTTTTGAGACTGTCTTTGGTTCACTGCAGTTTTAAGGAGGAAATACTCAGCAATGCTGTCGACTTATGAACTTACACATGGTTTGTCACAAATCTGTGCTGCCCGACTAGAGAAAACAGAGGAAAACGACTGTTGTCTTCACTTTCGCCAACTGGTAAGAAAACTTCAACACCCATAATGCACTGGGAATGATGTCGTCCAAGGCCACTCCCACCAGTCTGCTATGGAAACGTCTAATAAAATAAATTTATTTCAACTTTTAGTTTATTAAAGTAACTAAACTAAGTAACTAAAATGTTTTTATGGTCTTGGTTTTAGTTAACGATAATAACCCAGTTTCTTCACATCATGGTTTTGGCCAAGAATTGGTTCAAAATACACAACATTTAACATGGATCAAAAAAGTTTGTCTTAAGACAAGAACGGCTATTGCTCAAAATTCATAAGTAACTTTGATGAAAGGTTTTGATCCACTTCAAATGTTGACTAATGTATAGATCTAGCAGAAATATGTTCAGAAAATATATAAAAAAATTAAAAATTTGGATTTAGATTTATCGGCAAATATATCGGTTATCAGTTTTAAAATATAAAAAAATTATCGGTTATCGGTTTTAAAATATAAAAAAATTATCGGTTATCGGTTTTAAAATATAAAAAAAATTATCGGTTATCGGTATCGGCCAAAATATTCATATTGGTGCATCCCTAATGTAAACGAACCAAAAACAGGAAATGATGTCACAAGAAAAGGGCAGAATGCTCAAGAATGCCTGTTTTTTAGTCGTTGTTTTGACTCGTTTACACATTTTTAAGCTCTTCATGAGTTTATGAGGACAAAATACCATCATATGAAGCCTACGCACACACACAACGAGCACATTTAGCACAGCGCACAACACTGATCTGGATGTGCGGTAAGATCTGTCATGAAACATACGTAATAAAAGCTTGTGAACATATCTTTATGCCTTTAGGTTCGGTGTTAAATTGTGAATTTGACCTGTATCTAGCCGAAATATGTTCCGAAAAGAGTTCAAGAATAACATGCTTTATTATTGCAGGGGAACTGGATGTACTTTCAAAATATGAGTTATACTTTGTTAATAAATGCTAGGCCATACAAATCTCAATCAATCAAAGCGAAAGGAGAATGAAAGAAAAATAAACCTGAAGGATTTGAAAAGCATGGAAAAAGCATGAGGAATATTTCTCCGGTCACGTCAGAGACGCACGGCAGACGGGGGAGATCCTCGTTCTCTTATTCTTGACATTAAAACAATGGACATCGTCCAATAAGTCATAAGCAGAAACTCCTATTCCTGAGCTTTAGCCGACTTTCAGAAGCGTAACGCACGCTATGAGCTGTTCATCATCAAAACCAGCCCGTTCCCGTCACAAACTACAACACGCGCTAGAAAAGATGAGAGAAATCCTCTCACTATCGCATCTGGAAGCACTTACACCCCGAGTATCAGAAGAGTATCATGAGAAATATAAACAAAGGGCTTTAATATATTGTTTTGACAACTCCAGCATTCCTTTCATTACCATAATTACGTCTGACAGTGTCTCCAAGCGCTACTGAACACACACACACACTTCAGATCAATCTGACACCGCTGATGAAACACTGGCTTCTGTCAGAATGCATTATCAGTATAAAATACTCACAGATTCGTAGTAATTCAAGGACAGACTCATTAAATGAACTGCAAACTCCTAAACGGTTGACACTGAAAGCCACAACAACAACAACGATAAAATCGCTGGGATATGATTTTGGCCGTGAAGCATATTAATAGTAGTAATTCGTAGTATTATGTAAATACTCTGGTAATCATTCATTCAGTTTGTAAAGATTTTCACACTGCCTTTAACCCTGAGATAAAGCCTTTCTACTCTTACCCCGGAGTAAAGCGAAGGCTTACACTAATATTCAACCGCTTTTAATTCGCCTTTGGCTAAGCCCCGCCCCCCTTAGTTACTGTTGCTACGTCCGACAAACAAACT